TTGGGAAGCAAGACAGGCAAATCGCTTGAGCTCAGGGGTTGAAGACCAGCCTGGGCAACATGGTGAAACCCTGTCTCTACAAAAATACAAAAATAAAATAAAATAAAATAAAATAACCAGGCATGGTGGCGCAGGCCTGTGGTCCCAGCTACTCCAGAGGCTGAAGTGGGAGGGTAGCTTGAGCCCAGGAGATGAAGGTTGCAGTGAGCTGAGATTGTACCACTGCACTCCAGCCTAGGTGACTGAGCAAGACCCCATCTCAAATAAATAAATAAGCAAATAAATAAATAAATGAATAGAAACTAGCTTGATCTTACTATGTCTTATATATGCCTAGAAAATATTCTGTCTGATTTAATTTATTGAATTTCAATATTTCATCCTATAATGTTCTCAAATTTATGTGATTTCTGAAATTGTTTAATATTGCTGCCCTTAATTGCATATTCTTCCATAGATAGCACATAAAAGTTTTTATAGGTACAAACACATCTATTTCCTTGTCTGCACTGGCAACCTCCTGGTTCCTCTTGGGTTCTTGTATATGTCACAATCATTTATTAAGCACAGTAGCATTAATTTCCCACCTGCTATTAAGGAGCACTCCTCTTGGTATTCTGTAGAGACAGAAGGGACTTGTATAATAAACCTTGTCCTGTTTCTAATGAGAGTTTCTTATTTGACTGGTAAAGTGATGCAAGGAGTGCCAGCTGAGTCCGGGGCCTGAGCTGGAAAAGGAGACCCTGAGCAGGTGAGTACTGTACAGCTGAGAAGTGCAGGGAGCGCCCCACCAAGAGCTGACCCATGTGGGCAAGGTTGTGACACTGGACAGGGGTTGATACCAGCACAATAGGAGAGGGCACAATTAAAAGACATTGTGGCAAAAGTCTAGGGATAAAAACAGTTTTCATTTGGAGCCTTCCAGGACTCCCTAAAATGAATCTAACCACAGTGCACAGGCTGGCTCTTTCAGCAGTAAAAAGGGATCATGTCCATGGCCATTGATTTTGCTTAGTCCTGGCCGTTTGCCTAGAGGCTCAAATGTTAAACACTTTATGCCAGAAACCTTTAATTGCATCAAATGCTGGAAGGCAGTTTCTGCAACCTTATTTTCTGGGTCTTGTGAAAGCATTATCTTTGACTGTAAGCCAAAACCTAAAACTCATATTGTTCTTCCAAAAGAGTTTTAAATTTGCCAAAGTCCATTTACAAATATAATTGGTAAACTTAAAAAAGTTCTCTCGTGTCAAATCAAATAAACTTAATACCGAGTAAGATCTCTGTATAATATATCTATATAGAGCCACCAATATCCAGTTCCCTACAACACCAATCACATTAGTGGCATTTACCCTTTTCCTGTTAGTCTCCTCTCTCCCTCTTTAATTCTAGGTGACCAAAAAGGGGAAGAGAGAGAGAGAGAGGAAAGTGAAAAGTTGCCTACACAAATGCAAGTCCTCAAACCATAGGTCAGGATTGACCTTAGTAATAGAGGGAAGCGGCTTTCAATGTACTTTATGCTACCAAAATTACACTGTTCATATAGCTTATAGATCCTGAAAAGCTACCACATATTTTCAAACAACCATAGCTTTCCAAATCCCAGAAAATTTCTTAAATTTAGCACTCCGCTGTCTACAACCCAAATCCAGACAAGATTCTCATCCGAAATAGCTTATTTTTATACAGAATTTGTGTGGGTATGATAATGTCCTTGTCCTTCCAAAACCCAGACCTCCTGGAATATGCCAGATTCAGTTAAGAGAAAGCTCAGAACCTATAATACACAGTGGGTCCTCAGGGTACACAGGAAAGATCAGATAGAGTCCCTGCCATCAGTGACTTACAATTCAAGGAGAAAATAGATAATGAGGAGCACAAATATAATTTTGAAAGTTTATTGAGGAAAGGGGTTAGTTTAGAGGTTGAATCGGTATTGGTATAATAATATACCAATGTATTGAATTGGTATAATAATACGGATATACAGATAATGAAGTTCTAAAGAAAGGTATATTGCCTTGCTTTAAAATCTTATGATTAAAAGTATGTACTGACTTCCAGTTTCTGATTAGGAATGTAAAAAGCTGGAATTTGCCACTGTATCCTAACAACAAGAAAGAGCTGAACAAACTGCAAAATCAATAATTCTTATATCTATCAGAGAGGTGTAGTCACAGAGCACACCACTTTCCAAAAACTGCAGAGACCCACAGGCAAATGCCGAGAATCACAGCTTGCCAGAGCTGAACCCCATGAGCAAGAACTACCTTGGGAGCCAGTGCTGAAGTAGGGAAAGTTGCCTGTAATTGATGAATTGCCGGAAGCTCAGTATGGACAAATCTGAGAGATGAAACCCCAGAGGTAGTAAGTCATTGAGAGCTCCCGAACTTCTGTGAGTTTTACCTCCAGTAGCCCTACCAGTTTCTCAGAGTAAATATTGGTGGAAAATCCCATCATGCTCCTGGCAGCGGGAGGGGAAAAGAAACAATTTTGCAATACACTAGTGCATTCTGTTCTTCTGAATAAGGTCTGTCCCACGAGAAACTGCTTAAGTACTGACATAGAGCATAGCCTGCTGGAGTGTTATTAGAGCGTAACTGACTTGGGTGAAAGAAAACACCCAACTTCAGCTCACTCTAGTCATCCTGCCTCATCTAAAGGTGGAGGAAAATTGAAAAATGCTTGTGAAATTCACAATCCAGGGGTATAAGCTCACCAAAAGGCTAAGGCCTAATTATAGAACTACAGAATACTCCCCCTCTCCCTCGCACACTCCCAACAACCACATTACTAAAGGCCTATTCATACCATTTCCTTTTACGCAGTACATCATGTCTGGCTACCAAGAAAAAATTGTAAGACATACTAAAAGGAAAAAACAATCATAGTTTGAAGAAACGGAACAAGTATCAGAACTAGACTTAGAGATGAGGGAGATGTTGAAATTATCACACAGAAATTTAAATTGGGAATGATTTAAGATGCTTAAGGATCTAATAGATAAAGTAGACAGCATACAAAAACAGGTAGGCCATGTAAGCAGAGAAATTGAAATTCTAAGAAAATAACAAATATAGCCCAGGTGCGGTGACTCATGCCTGTAATCCTAGCACTTTGGGAGGCTGAGACAGGCAGATCACTTGAGGTCAGGTGTTTGAGACCAGACTGGCCAACATGGTGACACCTTGCCTCTACTAAAACACAAAAATTAGCTGGGCGTGGTGGCGGGTGCCTGTAATCCCAGCTCCTGGGGAGGGTGAGGCAGGAGGAGAATTGCTTGAACCCGGGAGGCGGAGATTGTGGTAAGCCGAGATTCTGCCACTGCACTCCAGCCTAGGCACAGAGCAAGACTCTGTCTCAAAAAAAAAAAAAAAAAAAAAAAAAAGGAAGAAGAAGAAGAAGAAGAAAAGAAAAAAACAAAACTAAGTGCCAGAGGTCAAAAAGGTTGTATCATAGACTGAAAGTCTGTGTCCCTCCAAAATTCATATGTGGAAACCTAATGCCCAATGGCATGGTACTAAGAGGAGAGGACTTAGAGAAGTAATTAGGTCATAATTATGGAGTCCTCATGGACTGGACTGAACTATTTAAACTGTTGAAAAGGAAACCCCACCAACCTAGAGTTCTGTACTCTGTGAAATTATTCTTCAAATAAAGGAAGAAATAAAGACTTTCTTAGATAAACAAACCTGAAGAAACGCATTGCCAGGAGACCTGCCTTGCAAGAAATGTGATGTGGTTTGGCTGCGTCCCCACCCAGATCTCATCTTGAATTGTAATCCTCATAATCCCACATGTCAAAGGAGAGGCCCAGTGGAAGGTGATTGGATCATGGGAGCAGTTTCCTCCATGCTGTTCTCGTGATAGTAAGTGAGTTCTCACTAGATTTGATGGTTTTATAAGTGTTTGAAAGTTCCTCCTTCACACGCTCACACTCTCTCCTGCCACCTTGTGAAGAAGGTGCCTGCTTCCCTTTCCACTATGATTGTAAGTTTCTTGGGGCCTCCCTAGACATGCAGAACTGTGAGTCAATTAAACTTCTTTTCTTTATAAATTACCCAGTCTAAGGGATTTTTGTATAGCAGTGTGAGAACGAACTAATACAAAATGTTAAAAGAAATTCTTTAGAGAGAAGAAAAATGATGAAAATTAGAAAGTTGAATCTACATAAAGTTGGAGAAGAATAAATGAAGAGAGAATTAAAACATCTGTTTTCTGAGTCAAACAGATAGCAATTCATTCAAAATAATAATAGCAACAATATATTTGATTATGTATATTTATATTTATGCTTGTGCATAAACAAAATGTATGACAGCAAAATAAAGGGGATAGGAGGAAAGAATTAGAACACTGTGTCTAATCTATTGTTAACCCAGCCCAATATTTTACAGCTTTAGATACTATATTTTGAAATTCTATAAATTTTCATTTGATTCTGCTTTCATATTTGCTCAATACATTTTAATACTTCTAATTTGCTGCCAAATTTCTCCATATTATCTTTTATTTCTTTGAGCATATTAAGTATCCTAATTTTAAAGTTTGGGTCTTATAATTTCAAGATCTGGAGCCCCAGTGGATCTATTTCTATTTCTCTATTGTTCCTATGTTATTCTACTTCATATTATTTTAGATTCTCATATGCCTGGGGGAATGTTTTTTATAGTTTGTTAGACATTTAATTTGAAAAAGTATTATTTGTAGAAATAATTCAATTTCTAGAAAAATAATGTCTTCCTCTGGAAAGGATTGAAGGCTATTTCTTCGAAATTTCTAGTAATCTGGTACATCCTTAATCCAACACCATTGAGTGAAATGATATAGAGTTAAGCTCCATTCCTTTCAAGCGATTTTCAGGACTTTTAAATGTCCAGTCCCTCAGTAGCCTCTTCCCAAAGTGGAAAAATAACCCCTAAGAAAAACCGTATCTTGAAGTGTGCTCGCTTCTCTAATTTTATCTCTTTTTCCTGATGTTGGCTTAGTAATTCTCTTACCTGTTTATCAACTCTCTGGTAACTTCGAGATGATATTGATATTAACATTATCTTTTTTGTACTTCTTGTCCTCAGCTAAAAGTATATCTCCGCTATTACGGAAGGTAGAATAGCTATATTTTGTGATTATATTGTCACAATAACTATATTGTTTTAGGTCACAATAATGAATCCCATATGTTGCATCAGATTAATTCCAAAAGCCACTAACAAGCATTCAGTGTTTACTTTGTTCCCAGTACTGTTTTAGATTTGGGGAATGTAATAGTGAACAAAATAGGCAAAAATGCCTGCTTTGATGGAACCTATGTTCCAGTGAGGAAAGAAGGAACAGCAAAATAAGTAAAATGTATGACATGTTATAAAATTGCTGAAGAGTCAATATAATGAAGGAAAAAAGAATTTTAAGTGTTGGGGTGGGATTCTGATAGAGTATCCATTGAAGGTATATTTGAATAAAGATCTGAAGAAAGTGAAGAGAAGAATCATGTAGATAACTGGAGGAAATACATTCTAGGAAATGAAAATAGTGAGTACACTGTCATCTCTGAGCTGGCAGCATACCTAGAGTATCAAAGGAATATCAACGAGGTGAGTGCAGCTGTAACATTCCAAACCCCAGGAAAGTGGCCAACAGTGGGGTCAGGTAGGCGAAAGGGCCCAAGTCACATAGGGCATTGCAGGCCATTGTAAGGATGCTGGCGTTTACTCTGAGTGATGTGGCAAGTCAATGAACAGGGTGAGCAGAGGGGTGACATGACTGATATTATAACAGGCTAACCCTGAAAGTTGCTCTTCAAAAAGATTGCAGAGGGAAAGATACAGAAACAAGGGTATCAGTTAAGAGGCTCCTGCAACAATCTATCACGATGATGGTGGTTTGGGACAGTTTGGTGATAGTTAGTTACTGAGAAGTGATTAGTTTCTGATTAATTTTTGAAATTATACCAACAGGATTTGTTGATGAATAGAATGTAGAATGGGAGAGACAGAAAAATGTCTTGACACCAAGATTTTTGTCTTGAGCAACTGAAAAAATGGAATTGCCATTAACTGTGGTGGGGCACCCTGCAAGAGGAGATGTTTTGCTGGGACTATTACCAGGTCATTTGAACATATGACATTTAAGTAAGCATTATGAAGTAAGCATTATGAAGTTCAGGGGTTAGGACTGGGCTACAGATATAAATTTGGGACTCGTTGGTATAAATTTGATATTTAAAGCCTTGAGACTGAATAAAATCACACATAAAAGTAACCATATAATTAAAACAAACAAACAAACAAACAAAAACAACTTTATGGCTTCAACTTTGAAAAGTGGTGCCAAAAGATACCAAAACACGTTTCCAATAGGATATGGCATATTTTCTAAACATAGCTTGCCCCCAAAATATCAACAACAACAAGAAAAGAAAGTGAATTGACAAAATCATGGTAATCTAACTTACATTCTCCAGTCTGGAAAGACTTCTTTTGGGTTCAAGACTAAGCATGAAGTAGGCATCCCTCTAGAAAGTAGAAAAACCTCTCCAGAAAGAAACCTCTAGATAACACTGTGGAGCCTACCTGGAAGCAGTTTCTATGTGGAATTGGACAAATGTTCCAATCTCACTGCCACCGGCTACATACCTTCTGTCTGGGTCCAGGAGTCCTGATAAACGTGTGTGGGCATGTGTGTGTGTGTGTGTGTGTGCACACGTGTGTGCACAAGTCTAGCAAAGCAAAGCTCAGAACACCCTCTGGAAGAAAATTAACAATTCCCAGCCCAGGAATCTTGATCTCCAACCTTGACACCTCTCAATCAAAAAAAAAATTATTTATATTTATATTTATGAAATATATTTATATTTACAAACCAAAAAGAAACCTAAGATCTAGTTCAGCAAGAAAAACATAAACTTAACACTACACAATATTAAAGAGAAGTCTGGGGGGAGCTACTCATGTGAACTGGAAAAGATAGAAATGGTATAGCCATTATACAAGCATACTACAGTGTGCTACATGCTACATACATGCATACTACTATACATCATATGAGAGACACACACACAGAGAGAAACAGAAATAAATACATAAAAATCCAGTCAGTCTAGCCTAGAAAAAAAAGTAAATTGGGAAATACTATAGGATTTTCTAAATTTATTTGGGGCTATGGAAAGAACTTAATAAGAATATAAATTTATTATACAAAAATTCAAACACAAGATGACAAAATTACAGAATGAAATGGAGATGTAGATTGTAAAGCTAATAAAAAACATTGATAACTACAATATGAATATTGTAGTGCTTCTAAACAAAACTTGAGCAGCAAGAAACAAAAAAGATACTGCTGAAAATCATCTTAATGGCATAGAAGAAAGCGTTGCAATAATCTCAATGAATTATAAAAATGCAGTGATCCTAGTCACTGGAGAGAAGACATACATTAAGGTTAAGAAGATCAGTGCTATAGCTACATGTTTTGCCCTCCCAAATTTCATATGTTGAAATTGTAACCTCCAAAGTGATGGAATTAGGAGGTGCAGACTTTGAGAGGTAATTATAATAAATGATGAGAGCAGAGCCCTCATAAATGGGATTAGTGCCCTTACAGAAGAGACCTGGAGAGCTCCTTCTCCTCAAGAGGTCTTTCACCTTTTGAGAACCCCATGGGAATGCGCCATCTATGAACCAGGAAGTGTAGTGGACCTTCACCAGACACAGAATGTGCTGGTGCCTTGATCTTGGACTTCCCACCTTCAGGACCATAACAAATAAATTTCCGTTGTTCGTAAGCCACCCAACCTGTGAGACTTTTTTATGGCAGACATAACTGACTAAGATAATCAAATATAAATATAAGAAGAGAGATCTTAGAGTAGAGAACTCCCAAAAGAAAAAAATAAGATAAATAATACAGAATATCAAGGAAGATACAAATCCATAGATCAAAAGAGTAAACTATGTTCAAGGAAACATACAGAGTAACCAATATGCGCAAAATGCTGGTAAATAAACTTTAAGAATACAGGATTCTCCAGGCAGAGAAAATAGTGAATACCTCAGACAGGAAAAAATAAACAAACACAACACCTTTTGTAAAGGAGTAAAAACTGGAATGCAGATTTCTCCACTGCATAATTAAATAGTAGGTATGTATATCTGAAGGTAAGTGGAAATTATTATTATAAATGAAAATAGAAAACAGTTTTGAATCAAATCAAAGAATATAGTATCAAAGAACTCTTTCTTTAAAACGCTACTCAACCATAAACCCAGTCAGTAAAATATAAATCATGATAAATACCCCAGGAATTTTATTTACTTAACAAACTTATTGTGTTATTACTATTCTTAGGTGTTAAAACTTTAAGTAAGACATCCACTACCTAATTTTATCACTTTCATCACAGCTGATGGAGAAACTATGGAAAAATATTAATGTTAAACAATTATAGATATTATGTTTATACAGAAGAAATGTAAGTGTTCTAAACTAATAATGTAAAACTATGAGTAAAAATAATCTGTAGGTTGTGGTGAGGAAGTGGAAGAAAATTTTAAAAATATTATTCCTTCATATTTTATATCAAGAAGTCAATTCATAATCTATAAAATTGGAAGATGCTGACTCCAGATTCTTAATGGTTTTCATACTACCCTTTCTGAACTTTAGAGGGATTTTTAGGTAACAAATGCATCCCTGGGCCGGGCGCCAGGGTTCATGCCTGTAATTCCAGCACTTTGGGAGGCCAAGGGGGGCAGATCATCCAAGGTCAGGAGTTCAAGACCAGTCTGGCCATCTGGTGAAACCCCATCTCTACCAAAAATACAAAAATTAGCGGGGCATGGTGGCATGCGCCTGTAATCCCAGCAACTCAGGAGGCTAAGGCAGGAGAATCTCTTGAACCTGAGAGGCAGAGGTTGAAGTGAGTCAAGATTGTGCCACTGTACTCTAGCCTGGGAGACAGAGCAAGACTGTCTCAAAAAAAAAAAAAAAAGCATCTCTGAAGGTCAACAACAATTTCTTTAATTATATTTGAACTTTTATTCTGTTAATTCAAGCAAAAATAAATATAACAATTTTAATATTAATAATATCATGTGTGGCAGTGTCCCATTCTCTTAAAAATGTCTATGTATAAAACCTTTTTCTCAGTACACATACATAGAGAGATATTTGGGATTATTTTTATGAAATAGTAAACACTGGCTATTACTAAATTTAAGATTTTTCTTTGTATATTGCTGTCAAATTTTCAGCATTTCTTAGATTTCTTATAATGAGTATGTGATGTTTCTATAAAATGCAAAGTATCCATAGTTTAAAATTTTTAACATTAAAAAAATTTACATTGGGAAATCCATTCAACTTTATCTCTCACCTAACTGTTTGTTTGTGTATCTCCTGGCCGTCAGCCTCATCAGCAATAAAATGGGAAAGTGAGATATCTGAGGATGGAGAGTGAAAGTTAGCATGGTTAACTTATAATAGGGATACACATTTGTTCCGGGTAATTGAGAGTTGGTCATATTTGGGGCCAATACCATGAATTTTATGGTTCTTGAAAGTGTCATGCTTTTCCCCAATAGGGTGAACAACAAACTGGGCATATAGCAGAAACACTTGAATGTCTAATATTGTTTAATATATGATTCCGGCCTTGTATGATGGCACTAGGGACACTGAAGATCTCTGATAAAATGTTGTTTCTAATCGTTTTAAAAATTATTAATAATTTATATAATTGTTATTAGATTTTGCTGTAAACAGAAATGGATATTTCATTACATTTTGTGGCCATGGATGAGGACACAGTAGGCATTCATATTATTATGTTTCTTGGATTTGATTTAAACACTTACCTATGTAAAATAGGTGGGCAATAAACCAAATTATATAGAGGGGAAGGAGGGAAAAAAACTTAGGGTACTTAATTGAATATTTCAGACCATGACCTAAATTAAAATTGTCACTATAACTGGAAAAAGGGGGAAAAATGATTGTTTTTAAAGACCCATCTTACCTAGGAAAAGAGCCACAGCTATTTCCTATTAAGCAGTAATTTGGGGTTCCCAAATTTG